TGGAAATTTCAACCTGCAGATCAAGCCCCGTGGACGGCCTGAGACCCAAGTTGATAATGAAGTATTGAAGGCTATTGTGGAAGCGGATCCATCACAAACTACTCCAGTTAGCTGCAGGCTGGGTGTTAGTGATAAAACTGTTTAAATCCACTTGAAGCAAATTGGGAAGATTAAAAAGCTTAAAATGGACTAAATTACCAAACCAAACCCTACTCTGCTACATTACTGAACACAAATAAGGTATTTTAAACAATCATTACCTGTATGAAAAATGGATTATTTACATAATTGAAGCTCACCAATTTGATCTTGGCCACCACAAATTCCCAAAATTAACCCAAAATTACTTGTAAGCGTTTGGTGGACTAGTGCGGTATTTTATTCAGTTTTTCAAATCTGCAACTATTAGTATGTCTATTGTCACAATTCAAACCATATGAAAAGCTAGCCTAAACAACCTAGCTGTCAATCGCTCCACCCACTCTACTTCAAAACCAGACCACACACTCACAACAGACGCTACCAAATTAGAAGAGTTCAATTGAATGTCTAAGACATCCTCCTACTCCCCACCTTCTCCAACAGATTACCATTTTTTCGAAATTTGGACAACTTCTTTGGGAAAAATTTAACTTATCATCCAAATCGCTTCATAGATTTTATTGATTCCCTCGATTTTTTTAGTAAAGGGATAATAATACCTATGAGATGGCAAAGTCATAGAAAACAATGGTTCATACTTTGATTAATTAAATATATTATATTTAAAAATATTCGACTTTTTGTTCCTCCCATAAAAACCAATTTCATATGTAAGGACCAATATATAATATTTTTAATTGATTTTTTTAAATCAAATATATGTTCGGTCTTCCTTAAAGCTGTTTCACATGTGCTAAAACCAACATAAATATTATATTTGTTTGGACTAGATATTAAGACTTATTCAATTTATGCAGCTTCTTCTTCTCAACATCTTTAGAGCATTGTTTCAGCGGACAATTCTCATTCCTGAGGGCGTAGGTTTGAACTCCGGTTTTATATCAATGGACTTAGGGGTAAAAGTTGCGGCTTGTCTCAGGGACTAAGATAAAACAAATGATCACAAAACACAGAGAAATCTGAGACCTACAAGATTGTAGCGCAACTGGTTTTTTAGTTCTTATATGTAGAGAAACCGCAAAATCCATTAAATGATCTTGCATCCGCTCACCTTATAAAGCTAAAGTAACAAAACGTTTAAAAATTAGATCCAATTTTCTCAGAGACTAATCCAATTTAGTTTAATTTTAGCAATAAAGTAGTTTCTATAATAGTGTAGTTCAGAGTTCCCCAAACATTTTTGTGTCGTAGACCCCTTGCCATGTCTTTCCGTGTTGGGTAGACCCCCTACTTACCTGATATTGATTTCCTGTAAATTTCTAACTGTAGTGAAGTTTAGTGTTAAAAACTTAAAGTAAAAACACATGTTAATTTATACATTTATTAATTGAATATAAATTAAAACTACTCAAAATAACATTTTGTATCTGTGACGTAAATTACACGTAGCATTAAATAAACTATAAATAAAATAACATAAGCAATAAGTCAATATAATGTATATGTTTTGATAATATAAGATAGTATGATGTAAGTAAATTGGTACTATCAGTGTATGTGTTGAGATCCACTATCTATGAAAATGGGGGTCCACCCATTTTCATTTCATGGACCCTCAAATTTTTTTTCGCTGACTTAGACCCCTTGCAGGTTGTCATAGACCCCTAGGGGTCGATATAGACCACTTTGGGAATCACTGGTCTAGTTGAATCGCATCCGCGCCGCCTATCATCGTGTACACTTGACTGATATATCTTTTTAATAGCGCCTACATTCACTGAATTTTCAATAAAGCCCGTTTGGCGACGCAGTGGTTTTATCCTTTTATCACTTTTCCAATTTTTACCAACAGATTTAATAAAGATTATAACGGTCTAGATGTTTTTAAATTTATTCCAGTATGTACGGTAAGCGCCAAAGGGAATGCATTATTTATTTCACTGTGAGCTTGACTATCCTTTGTTAATGGTTACTTAGACCTTTATACCTAGAGATATATTGCTTTACATTTATCAGTTTATACTTAGCGGGTATGAAGATTAAAGTAAAGTTTGTAGGTTATTTTTATTGCTTGAACCTTACGCCAAGCTTCTGAATTTCGCATGTGTTTAAACCCGTTGTAAATATAACGAACATTCCGTCTCTCACTCTTTTTGAAGACTTCCTGAAGCCTCAGACAGCATCGGAATACTTGGCGTTGACATATCGAACGATATTAAGTTTCGCGGTGATTAGAGGGAAAGGTTAAATTAGCCCCCAAGAAGTTCGGTGTTCTCAGCAAAGCAAGACGGTACTTCAAGCCGGGCCATTTCTGGCAACTGTATAAAGCGTAAATTCGGCCCCGTACAGAGTACTGTTCTCACCTCGGGAGAGGTTCGAATTGTCGACGACCAATAATTTTCCGAATCTGATCTCTGATCTCTTGGAGTTGCGTAGAGATGTGGGTCTCTCTGCATCTTCTACTGTATATAGCATATTATAGATGTTTAGAAGAGTTGTACCTGGATGATAGTATTTCCAACCCAATTCGACTTTTCGAAAAGTATATTCGAAAATTGCGTACCAACCCCTAAAAGGCCGGCAACGCACTCGCGTGTTAACATCAGATGAGCTTCCTGCTTGTATAACAGGGGGCCTGTTCTTTAAAAAAACAGTAATGGCAGTTATTGTAGTCCCATATGTATGTGGTCCCCATTATTTTTTAAAATTATTGGTTGACACTACATTTTTTATATTAAATTTAAAGTTATAATAAAATTCGTATGAGTATCAGTTACTTTTGAATGTACATATTTGTATTTATGCCTGACTAACAAAAAAATTAAAATGGTTCGTGACAGAAGACCACTAACCAATAACCTAAAGGTCGATCTATTTTTGTATTGAATCTATTTAAACAGCTCAACAACGTGACCTACGAGGTATTTACGGACAAACATTCAAACAATAATGGCTGGGAATCGATAGAAGAGGATTTCGATAAGTATCCTTATGATCACCCATAATAAATGAATTTACTTACTTATTCGTTTTATTTATTATCCATGATAACGTATCCACATTCAAATACCAAGAGTTCATGCTTAGAATCAAGAGCCACGTGAATAACAGACCCGCTGTTATGTTAGCGGCTAACTATTCATTATGCACATACTTGCCAAACGTATTTTTTTGTTCTAAAGGGACAATTCTACCAAAATAGCGTGCAGCACATTTCTTTACAAACATTTTGTGCAAAACTATAGCAGAACACGCACTAAGCAGGTATTGCGTTTGGCTTGTCTCCATCGGCAATGCTGTGTGTAACTTTTGTGAGCGCAGTGTTGCACACTTGTACACGAACTTGTTTACTGAGAAGATTTTCTGAACAAGATATTATTCGCTTGAGTGAGTGGACCAAAACAAACATTTGTGTCGTATGTTGTGCAACACTGTGCTGCACAGTTAATCACACTGGTGCAATCGTACCTTTAGATTCAAACCCTATTGAAAACTAAGATTGCATACTATACAATACAACCAAGCGGCCAATATTAATGGCCTAGTGATAAAGCTTTTCTTCAAGATTAGTCTAAATACCATATTTTTGTCCTGTCAAAATAAAATACATTATAAACTCTATCAGATGCTAATCAATGTTTGTGAGATAAGTGTTAATAAACAGAGCATGCTGATTTTGACAATTCGATAGCATGATGTTATCTTGGCCAATTATATGACAATCATTATATATATAATTCTACTATAAGTGTGTATGTCACTGAACTCCTCTTAAACGGCTAGACCGGTTTGAATGAATTGGCCCTGGATAGTTTATATTCAAAAATCAGCCCGGCAGATGGCGCTGTAGTCGGTATTTAGGTTATTTATCTATACCTGCAACTAAACAGCTAGTTTTTCAGATACAAGTCTCGGATAGCTTAACTGGTAGAGCTCTTGGCGCGTAACCAAATGACCTGGGTTCGATTCAGTTTTCAGATTTCAGTCTTAGCGGTCCTAATTATTTTTCGTTTGCCGAAATTGATTTCCACTGAGTAAGGTTCCCTTTATTCACAATTACTTCCCTTTCCTAAATTTATCTTTAATCAATTTGTCATAAAACATGGTTAATATCATGCATGACGTCTTTCGGGTCCGCTAGTAATAATATATATTCAGAGTAAAAAGGTCATAAACCATTAAGTATCGTATAAAGTTCTTAATAAAATGTTACTTAGTTTAAAAATTATTGTGGGTGCTATCGTTTTAATATGACTGTACAAGATTATAGATGTATATAAGTACAAAAAACTAAAGTAAAATGTTAAATTATAAAAAAAAATATTTATTGTGTTGGTTTGACCAGAAGATGAGTTTTTTTTTGAGGTTTGATTTCATGACAGATACTCGGGGTAAATAAGAGGCGTTTCAACTTTAACAACGAATTTATTTCACTAGGTGCTGAATAAATAAGCCTTAACTTATCCTTACAATAACTTATTTAATCTCATAAAAAAGTCGACGGGCTCGCGCTTAAAAATACCTCAGTTAGTTAACAAGTTGAGCAATTTAAATCAGTCTTAAAAACAATTTCGCTCGCAATGTTTTAAATTTCAAACCGGAAATTTGTATAAGGAGCAAACAAGAAGAGTCAAGGTCCAGAAATTTAAAACATTGCGGCTAATTCACTTGCTAAATGTCAGATCACCACGCTAGTAAACACAAAATCGGATCAAGTATTGCGTGGTAATCTGACATTTAGCTTATTTAGAACTAAACGAACGCCACTTGATCCAATCATAATCCTGATGTCCAATTCTGTCATTGATTTGCCGGCATTGTCATTGATGGGCTAAACATCGGCATCTCCGCCATATTTTGGGGTAAAGCGTAATAGGGCATCGGCATGGAGGAGGCGCTTAGCGGCGGCGGTCCGAGGCCAAATAGGAATTTGACGTACTGCGCGAGCTTCCATATAAAATTGGACGTCTCCGGTACCCTGCATCATATTATATTAATTATTATAAACATGTAAATATCAATTCAAATGATTCCCTTGTAATATAAGAACTTAAGACCCATTTAGATAATAAATGCAAGGGCTAAGCCTATTGCATGCAACGAATCATTATCATTGATATTTACAGAGATTTTTCCCAAATAAATACATTCTAATTCACAATTAGGATCATACCCGTCACCAATGATACAAAAATGGTATTAGTATTGATAATTGATTTTTATGTGAAATGAACGGTTAGGTGAATTATGGTTTTCTGTTTTATTGGCTGTTTCTTTGTATTCAAAATCATACGAAGGCTTTTGCTTCCTTATTTTCTTCTTCTTATTTAGTTTAGTTTTTTTGGAATCGTGGCTGAAATTTTTTATCATGCCTTCATGGACTTCAACAAAATCATCAAATAAGTCCAAGAAATACATCAACAAGTTGTATGTAAACGTGTAATAAAATGGTGGCTCACCTTTTGGTTTCAGCGCAGATTTTATTAAGTTATCGAGGTAGTCTTTGGCATTACTAATGGTATTTAAAAACTGTGATTCTTTCTTCTTTGAACGTGTTTCTAGCTGATTTTTTTTGTCTAACTCATATTCTCCAAAATGTATACTACGTTTTGGTCGTTTACGCTTTTTCTTCAGCACCTTTTTTATTTTAGACTCGGTTTTGTTATTTCCTTCAGTTTTAAAACTTTCTGGCTTAAATACAATAATTGGTTTCCATTCACTAGGCTCCGGAGCTAAAGTGACGTTGCTTATTTCGATAGTTACATTAGCCTTCAACTCTGTTTTTCTATACGGTAGTAATCTACTATTGTTTGGTCTCATTATAAACATGGCTGGATTAACATAGTACTTTACTCGAGGATAATAATATGTGCGAGGATAGTTATATTTATACTTTTTACTTTTTATATAGTCTAAAAAATCCTTATTATATTTAAGCGTATTTAAGTCAAGTTTCAATTCTGTGTATTTCTTTGGTCTTTGTCTAGGTATTTTTTTATAATATGACATCTTTCTTTGGGCTATATGTCTAGGTTGAGGTAGTAAAATTTCCCTCGGCCTTTTCGTTTTTTCTTCTACATCGTCAACGCTTTTAGCAGTCGAAACATCAGATTTAAGTCCTCTGAAATTTGCTGGTATTGCGCCGTAGAAAATACTCGCTATCGGATCGACGAAGCTTCTTATTTGGCTTACGACTGGCTCTAAAAACTTGAGCAGACTTGACTTACCATCCCATCGTTCTGCTGCTCGCGTCGAGTTAGCTAGCACAGATGGCGCCTGCTGCGACTGCTGAGCACTGGGGTCGTTCGATTGCAGAATTTCGTGAGTGTGTGTCTGTGAGCCCAGTCCAGATGGACTGAACATCTCATTGGAACCAAACTGTTGACTCATTCCGCTTACAGAGTATGCGTGCGATGAGGCGCTCGGAAAATCAATGGGGTATTGCGAGTAAAGGAATGGATGATTTTGCAAACCGGCGCTGGAATTCAAATAAGTATAATAAGTAACTGTTATAAGCTCACAGCCTTGTCAGCAGTCGTCCGTCGATTAGTTGCAGTGTCACGTCCTTCGTCAAATGTCAAATCTCGTCCGAGGGAACCTTTCAATTATGTAATCAATCAAGATGTTCTTCGTCAGTCCTTATCAAAATTCCATTATCTTGAGTGATATTGAAAATACAACGTCGTTGGATATTCAATAAAAATATTTAGATTATTCTCAGAAATCCAATTCCCAATTATTAGGACAACAGTTCTGCTTGTAAAAAACTTTTAAGCGTATATATTGTCCAAGTCAAAGTAAACATTCAAGCAATAATTAAATTGCTTACATTTAAGAATGACAATTACTGTATTGCTAATTGAAATAATTACAAAAGCGAAAACAGTTCAAATAATCCGCATTCACGCGACTGTAATCGTAGAAAGTCGTTACAATATGTATTTAACCAATGAAGCAAGATGAAATTCTTTGCTTTTTATTTCCACTTAGTCGTCACGTCAGCAGTTGGTGAAATCAGTCCATGTATGTGCAAAGTATGCGTGTAGCGAAGTCAATATGCCATGTCCGTCATGCTTCCTATTACTAGAATAATCGAAATTGTTGCAAAAAATACAAAATACATAATCATGTATAAATTTAATAAATCTATGTCAATTGTGAGATGTTTTATTATATTTGTAAACGTTGTACTCCGTATATTAATCCATATAGCAAGTATTTCTATGGAATTAACTTTACATAACGAAAAATTGTTTTTTACAATGTACTTGAATCATCTTCGACTTTCGATTTTTACAGTTTTTTGTAAAAGAAAATTTTATTTTGTAAAACTAATTATTCCTTAAAAGCTTAAAAAAAATAAAGTTACTTAATTTTATTTTAATTAAGTAAAACACTTTTAGTTTTAAGTTATTATTGCAACAACCTCGATTCTCATTACTACGTCTACGGTCTTTAAGAGGGCTCTTGGTTTTAATAGCCAAATATATAGAGAACTTTCCATGCAAATACAAAAAGAGCATTAAAAATATCCACGAAAAAAAACGACGCTATAGATGTTTTTGAAATTTTCTTTAAGTCTAAACACTTTTATACCCACTAAAAGCTTTGAGGAAAATGGTTGTTTATTTTGGAAAAATGTTCAATATGTCTCAAAGTCGCTCATTTTTAGGTCAAATTAAATTTTAATTTGCTTTTATTAATTATGTGTTATTGAAGACTAATTAACATTGATTAAGCTTTTTTGATTGAAGCAAAATTGAGTAAGTATATTAAATTTTGAAACAAAAACCAATATCGTTAAGATAAATGTGAAAAATTACTAGAAATATTTTTCTATTGGGCATATCCCTCCAAAAGCTCTTATTAAATGTTTTCATAATTTATTCATATAACAATTATACTAACTCTGAATTTTTAACATACATCTTTACAAGCTATATTCTTTGAATTAGAAAAATGTGAAACTAGTACAATCTATTGATTAAACTTCATAAATATTTACAGGCGTAATTAATTATTGAATAAATTATGATAATAACATGTTCTGTCTTGCACTTTCTTTATACATTTGGCTTCCGTTTCCTATTAATTAAATAAACAATTGAAGTCACAATACAAATAATAGGTTTCTATATTATTTTATAAAGTATATCAACAATTGATCCCTTAATGTTATTACTAGAAAATGACTAATACGAAGTTACATACATTAAATGTGACTTAAATTGATTTTTGTTTGTCTTAAGAATACCATTTAAGCACCGTTCTTAGCACCATATTCTACTTATAATATTTTGTATAAAAGAGTTTTTAGCCCTTTATTTATGCAAAATATATATTAGGTTTTTTTATAGGATTAGTCATAAGTTTCAGAGTACATATATATACTGTTATGCTACATCATTCAACAAAACTTTACTGCTATGAAACTTCTGATAACACTATTCTTGTCATATGACTAATATTGAAGAAGTATAAACTAAGCTTAGTATTAGGTCCCGATACGTATCTTGGCCAGAATTTGCATATGGAGTTCGTATGTAGCAGAAAAGGCCTACATATCGACTTTTGCGCGACTCTGGCCAACTTACATTCCGAGAGACTCCTACGTATCAAGTTTGCAATTTCTTGAGGCCAAAGATTTGTTTAACACAAAATTTTGTATTAAGATTTTGAAATGCCAAAAAACATTACAATAAACGAGATATTTTTATGCAGTCCTCTAGATTTGGGTTTAGTCTTGTCAAACTGTCAACGTCACTTTTGTTTTTACATTTAGAACAAATTTACATTCTGTTTATAAAAATTTAACTCACCCGCCGGTATAATTCTCATACAACTTCTTGGCAGCCATTCCAACAGTCACCAGCAGGGCTAGCTTGCTAGCCAGGAATGCCTTGATCGTGATGACTGCTACCACCGCCAGCGAGAAGATAGCGATCGCGGCTGACTTCATTCCAAATAAGAGAGGGATCACCGCTTGCATGACTTTCCGTTTGTGTCGCCGTCCTGAAAAAACAAATTATATTAATATCCATGTCAACACTTTTCGTGTAGAGGGCGGGCCACCATTATGGTCTATGATGTCGGGTTACCGATTCGAATCTCTAGGCGACCTAAGAAAATAACACTCATACATAGGTTTGGTAAAGAAATAAAGAATAAGTATGTAAATGTTGATGTTTTAGATATCAATGAAGTAGAGGATATTGAATATAGACAAACGAAAGTAAATATCATGAGTCCCTTTTTAATGACCCGAAAGCTTACTAATGATAAATTTAAGCTTCGTAAATCTACAAAATAACTGAACAATTTAAAATGAATAAAACCGAGTCATATGAAACATGAAAGTAGAAGAAGTAAGGAAAGTGAAATTAATTCTGCAAGAAATGCATTAGCACAATTGTATAATTTTAGATAGAGATATATAAAATTACATATTTCAAAAGGTTTCACAGGCTACAAGCAATATCGATATCATACACTAAATTATCACATTTTGGAATATGTGTTTATATTCTATAGATAGTTTAAAAAATGAATTAATAAGCCAAGAAAAAATATTAGAAAATTTATATTTTCACTCTATAGATGTCCTAGATTACCAGATTAAAAAAAAATCAACTCCCGACCGATCACCAACGGCCACGGCGGCCTAATTCAGCGGACACAAATCAACTGCGCATTAATATTAAAGAATATAAGTGTATGCGTTATACTTTCTATTCCCTCACTATTACAGTAGGAAATTTAGAATGACCGGAAATAGTTCAGGACTTTCAAAGATCCGATTTCATTCAATTTACTTTATGAAAGTATTAGTATTTAAATAAACGTTTTCAAAGCGGAATGTTGTTTAAATTTAATTAATCTAGGAGTCTATTAGAATATATTACTAATTATACTTCGCAAATATATTTTCTCCTTACAAACGTTTAATATCATGATCAGCAATAAATCTCTCGATAATAACCATTATCCGTGATCTCTAAACAATAAAACTTCCAATAAAAATTGTCTATAATTTATGAAACCTTCAAGAATAAACATTTCAATACAAAGTTGCAAAAACATGATCGTATAAATTTATGAACTGAAGAATTATATTGTAGCCATAACAATATACGTAGGACTGTAACTTATAATAAATTCAAAAGTGTGGGAAACTATTTTATGACAAATATATGTACTACAATTAAATATATCATATATACTAAATAACTTAGACTTAACACTTTCTTTTAAATGCCTTTATTCTTTTTTCATGAGTATTAATAGTTGTAATAACAAAAGGTGGATATTAGTACCAATTCATCGAAGATCCGTCTCCAATGCTTTAATTTTCTATAAGGGTACATCGTCCGTGGACTTTACGAGTAACGCTTTTTGTATTAATTGCGGTCATGGCTACCTTTTTCGTGTAGAACTGCGTTACTCATACCCTGCCGCGGCGCGACTACCTTGTGGTGGGTCGTTGTGTGGGACCCGCTACTGTGCATACTCACTAAAAACCCACAATGCCACCAGCAATCGCTCGAGGTAGGACGCGTAACCTTGTCCGCTGATGGGATACTGCCCAAATAATTTCTTACACAAACAATAATAATAATAACAAATAGTACATTTAGACTTTAATCATTACATATTGTTAACACCTGTTATCAATTGTGTCATTTTAACATTATCTACAATTAAACGAGAAAAACAAAAATATTATCTCTGTAACTGTAGTGTAAATTATTATCTGTAAAAACTTCTGAACGCTCTTTCACGATTTATGATTTTATTTAAATCACGTTGTTCGTATTTCCTACCAAAATAATTTCCTCGTGTTCTATTGACATCCTCAAACAAACCTTTCTCAAACGATAAAGGTTGAATGTTGTGTTAAATTTTAACACGCATGTCTGGTAAATCCCATCTCAATTTTCTAAGGCTTTTAGAAATACGATGAAAACAAGTAAGTATCTATGCATAATAAATAAAAGGGAACAAATCCCCAGTGAATCCAATGAACGGGATTGTTTATTTCCAGTTTAAGTGGTAGAGACGCAAACATACTATTTTTCATGAATTTTCCGCCTCCTATTTCTCGCAAACATGCCGGTACTTTAATTGCTCGGCATATTTATTCAGGCGTTTAACAAACGACAAATTATACCGTCGTTGTTTGTGTAATACTAATAAGGCTCAATGCTAATACTTAATACTAAAATAATATACATACTTTTGCGAGACAGTCAGTTGTGTCTTATGCAAGGAATGGCCATATACAAAGGTATACATTTGTGTGTCTCCTGAAAGATTCATGCCCCAGCATAACATATAAAACTCATATTACTTTATAATTTTATTTGTTAAAGAACTTTTTAATTATTATAAGGCCTTAATATACCCGAAAAGGTTCCCTAGAAGAGATCGCTTGAAAGCGATAAAGCCGCCCGTTGCCCTCCTTGTTATTTAAATATTGTAACTTGTAATGATTTTGACAACGAAGTGTTAAATTAATTAATACATAAATAATATAATCAAATACGTGAACTATAGTACAGCTGCTGATGAATATATACTTAAAAGGGTACAATATGTTTTTTTTATGTTTTGTTAAACAATGTACTTAGGTCTAATAACTTACAGTAGTAACTTACATTAAGCCTATTAAACTCACTACTCATTGAGGTACAATATCACGCGAAGCGTAAGAGTATAAACTCAGCAGGTTATGAGAAATTCTTCTCTATACATGAAAACGCACTCAACTTACAAATGACGTATTCAGATTAATCTCAGTGCGAGTAAGGAAAAGAATTTCCTCAAATTTTAAAAGCTTTTTACAGCAAGACCTTTTATGTAAGACGCTGTTTATCAACAAAATTGTAATACCAATTTATTGCCTTTTGCTTAAGAGGCTTTGTAGTTAATTGTTTCTATAGCCAAATATGTTATTTATCACCATTACAGCGGTATATAAAACAAAACAGTTTTGATTAAAACTTCTGGTAATATTCACTAGTCACTTCTTCAATTTAACGCTTTATGTTTAGTATAAATATTAATAATTATATAGGCGTCAAGCCCGGATTAAACTTTAGAGCATTGAGTTGAAAATCAGACACACTAACTAGACATGATTAGATCAGATTACTCACTGGTGCGTTTTGGTGTTTTGTCCTGTGGTACTTCTTCCTCCACCTTGCTGTTTGATTTCTTCGGAGCTTCGTCCGAAACATCTGAAATTATACATTTCAAATCAGCATAGTGTAATAAGCAAAATGAATATCGGATATCGTTCTAATAGGAAATTAATTGCTAATTTGCCTGTGACTTAGTTACACAATTTAACGGTGTATTTTACAGTTTGCTTTTAAGTTTATACCAGGCGTATTTGATTTATATTAAACATATTTTTTGTATGTCTTAGCTATGTCTATCAAATTAAATAAATTTTGATTCTGATTTTCAGTGTAATGAAACATATTAGATAATAGTTTAGAGTTGAACAGGTGAGGTCTAAGGTATTAACTAAATATGAGTAAATCATTACGTAATACATATAATATATTTTAAGATTTTATTTATTTATACATAATTTACAATAAAAAGGCCAGTTGATTTTGCTTTCAACATTTGTTAAAAGAAAGAATTTTCTAGGCCGTCGGGATTCCAATCCAACTTCGATTTACGTAAATTTTTTCGGCTTTTTCTCCGTTTGTAATAAACGGAATATTAAAAGACTCACTTTCTATAAATCATCTATCAAGTATCTTAAAAAATATCGTTATTTTGGTATAATCATTCTAGAGTATATTTATTTTATTTATCTCCACAGAGATGAAAGACGAATTTTTTTTTTGGCCGAGATGATTATCTAGATTGTTTAATACCTAAATACTATTTTTTCACATTGACTATTAAACGTTTAAGAGTTACACGAGTACCAGAGTAACTAGACAATGACAAAACGATAAACTGTGAGTACGGGTAGTTCATAAAAAGAAAATAATATATTCAAATTTCGAAGCGTAATTGTATGATATAAGACTATGTGAGATTTAACTACTTGTTATTAACGTACATACTGGGTGGCGCAAAAGTACTGACACTAAAGAAAATTTGTTTATTTTTTTTATATGACATTTTCTGTCATTCTGTTGCTGAAAATTGTGTTTTTATCACTGATGAATTATTCCGTAAGAACATTGACACGATTATTCCACGTTCTTGGGGAGTAAAACGGTCCATGTTTATTTTCAGTGTATATTACATTTGTTCACTACACAATTATCAACAACAGAATGACAGGAAATTTCATTAAAAAAAAAATCTTTAGTGCCAGTACTTTTGCGCCACCCAGTATAACTGATTCATTGTTGACCGCAGTTCAGTTCATGAGTGTAAATTATTTTCTACAACGCTGTATTTATTTCTTACACAATCATAAACTTGTAAAATTATGTGGTTTTGGTAAAAAACTACGATGTTATGAAATTTCTATATCTTATTTTATATTTTCTTATGTAATACATTATAAAATGCATCTAGTGTATTTCTAAGTTTTACATATTATGAGTGAACATTTAGTTAAACCAATAAGAATGTTTTATGGGGAAAAATAATTGTAAAAACAATTTTACTGCCTTCTTTAATTCAGTTATAAATTAATCGCAATTGAGTTATACCGTTATTTATATATGTATTTCTTAAACAACAGTTAGGTACAAAAATAGATGAATTTGAGAACGCATGTTTAAGTCGTAAACCCGGACTTTTTCACGACTTTGTGGTAACATTAACAAGAGGCTTTGAGCCTTCAAGCAGTGTTGGCCTAGTTGCTTCAACGTGCGACTCTAGTCCCTAACGAACCCCGGCTGTGCATCAATGGGCTTTCTGTCTATGTGCACACTTAGCACCGAAAACACCGTAAGGACACCAGCGTGCCTTAGAATAGTCGACGGCGTGTGTTTACTAAAAGAAATACAGATATCTGAGGCCCACCCTAGAAAGGTTGTAGCGCCACTGCATTTTTTTGCTATCTTTCTATGAAGGTAAAAACAAGCTTCTGACAAACCGACTTATGAACTTGATTTTCTACAATATGATAATATTATATAAAGAATATAATCCAGGGTATTCCGCAGGATGGACTAAAATTTATGAAACACCCAGGGGTTACCTAGACACTCGGGGAAATGGTAATAAATTTTACGGCGCTGTAAATTTAAGGTTCTATGTTCGCATGATATAAGCACCCAAGAGATCACCGCTTTTATAGAAAATAAATATTATAAATTACGTCAGAAATCCATAAATTATATTAGTTTGTTTATGTATTCGTTTTAGTTGTTTGTTTTAGTAATACATTAATATATTTTTACATTTATGGATATGAAAATGCAAAAATAAATAAGGTTTAATTTATAATCAATACTACACCCTAGATCACTTAGAGTTTTTAATTATGAAAATTTTCATACATCAATATAGTAAATATGTGTTATTAAGTTCACTTTAATTTATTTTTAGTGAGAATTAAGTTTTCAGTAGCGATTATAAAATAATTTGTATTAGACAAGTAGCAAGCTATTGTACAAGTTTTGTCAAAAAAAAAAGATGGCTTTGACGTAGGGAAGTCATACTTAGCGATAAGCACAAAAAAGTGACTTTTATTTGACTGTTATTTGTTACAGTTCCATCAATAATATTAAGTAAAAACATTTAAATAAACAATCGTATCATAATTAATCGATAGTATAACCCAGAAATTATATGTTATATTTTTAATTTGTACTTCTGTAATAATTGAAAGCAACTGACTGACGCCCATAAGCACTTATAACTCAAGGAAGCATGTATTGAGTTACAACCTTTCAGAACAATACGGTTTTTATGAAAGCCATAGTATTAATAACTTATTTAGGTTTCGATCTACCATTATACCTATTATTGTGTGTAAAATATAATTTTTTGAAAAGTATTTTTTTCCAAAAATTCTTCATTTCAAACATTTAATATTTCTTTCAAAAAGCTAAGGTCTTCGGATGGCTTTTCTGTTAACACAATTTCGAGATAGATTAGTTCTATAATGCCTAAAAATAACTTGAAATGTAAATATTGTTTTTAGCAATAAAAAGTAATCTACAGCTTCAAAAACTTGGAACTTAAAATATTTCACCGAAGAAAGGTGATTTTTAAAATTGGTTTTTAATTCATTTAGAACTTAAGATTGTTTTAAGCAGTTTGAAAGATATTCCCTAGAAAATATATAATAAAAAGCGCTAGACAATCTAATTATCATCCGGATACACAATTCCGTCACAATATCTAATTTTTATGGACTACTTCCTGCAGTCGCGTGAAACAAAGAAAACAGTTTGAATTATTCAAACGCGTGATCTGATTGCAACGAGAAAGATTAAAGGAAATGCAAGAGTTTTGTTTGCTCAGTATTCGGAAAATATACGAATGATAAATGTGTTTAAATTTGGAAAGTTTAATTTTGTTGAAGAGGATTTTCCGTTCCTACGTGGTTAATATTTGTGCCGCATAGCGAAGTTTAGGTGTCAAAACTTATTTGCTTACCGTAAGTTGGTAATGAAACTGATTTAATATTAATTAAATATTTTGATATGACGCTCTCGTTAAATTTGAATAGTTATTATGGAACTATTGTATTTTGAGGATTATATTGTTATTTATATAGATAACTCTGCACATACGAAGGTCAAAGATAAAAAAAAAGAAATTTATTCACAAATCGACTATCCGAAGATGATAGGGTATGGTAGGGATGATAGCAACCATTACGCCATGTTCCACAAGCCCTTTGATACAGAAGAATATTTAATGTGTTTCTTATTTAAATTGAAAATTAATGAACACATTTTACAAGGTTTGTATGAATAATAATATCCACAAATTATTAAAGCATAATTAAAATAACAACTGCATTTCACTCAAATGGGTTATATGATCAATTTTAATCAAGTTAACTCATTAAAATTCATAAAGGATTTTACATAAATTCGGGAACAACATTAATTAACTGGTCGTTAATAAACTTCGTAAAACGTGTGCTATACGATAATTTGTAGGAAAAACTAAAAGGAAAACAGTTGAAAATTATAAAAAAGTCCAGTGATTCTCATCCCTAAGGTCCCGCCTTTGCATCATTGGCTGTAGATATAGTACAGAAGTATAGGAATATATTTTGAGGAAACGAGCACGCTTAAGACTCAAAACGAAGATGTGCGTCAGATGGAAAGAATTGGTTACGTGTCTACAAAGCAACAATTATCCAACAAACATAAAGAGATCTAAGACCAAGACCAAGCGAGTACTTAGAGTCCGGATAAGCCCAAAATGTATTGTAGGTTTTAACAGAGTCAATCAGAATCTTACCCCAAAAGTTTTGGGCAGGTATTCCCTTTTCTGTAAAACGATACGGTAAAGTTTTGGTTTTGTATTCAGAAGGTAGAATATGTAGAGGCACTTTCACCGTCTATTTTAAAGTTATGTATAGTGAGCAAGGATAAAATCTAATATATAAAATTCTCGTGTCGCGGAGTTTGTAGTTAAACTCCTCCGAAACGGCTTGACCGATTCTCATGAAATTTTGTGTGCATTTTGGGTATGTCTGAGAATCGGACATCTATTTTTCATCCCCCTACATCTAAAGGGTAATCCACCCCTAAATTTTTATTTTTAGATAAATTTTAGTTTTTTTATGATACAGCAATAAAAAATACATACAACCCCTAATTTTCACCCCTCTACGATCAACCCCTATTTTTTATTATCAATGATATACACGGCAAAACGACGTTTGCCGGATCAGCTAGTAATTATATAAATTACATGTGGCATTATCAATCCTAAATATATCGTAAATACTTCAAACGAATATAAATTATTAAAATGATCGTAAATGAATGATAAAAGGTGAAAATATCGAAAGTATCACTTTCCTTATTTCCGTTGGAGTCAAGGAAAATGGTAAAATGTCACAATTACTTGGAAAGTGGGAAAGTCATAATTAATACTGTGCAAAGAGTGACAGTCACGAAAGCTATTCAGCTATATTTACAATAATTATAAAATAATATACAATATATAAAATTTTATAAACATATTGCATTTTTAGCAACGATTTATTGAATCAAGCACCTCATTTACTTTGATTGTCTTTAAGCTGAAATACGTGGTATTTCTGTATACATTGCATTTCGTAATTAGTTTATTGTATGAACAAAAAAAGAAAAGAAATGTGAGCCGTCACGGGACGCCTGGCAGATGTGAAACATCGACATGATTTTGTAAAAGTAATATGGAGAAAAGAACAGATTGTGATAGGAACTAAATATGTCATAATAGTAAAATAAAATATTACGAATTTTTTTCCAAATAACGATGACTATTTATTGAATAAACATTTATTTTCATTAAATACAAAAATTTACGAATTTATTTCAAATCGTGACTACTTAATTCGTTTAATCAGTTACTTCGAAGTACACACACCGTACGCACTACTGCATATAGACTGTATATATATACTATCATTTAGCGTGGCAACGCGTCGCCACGGCATGCGTCGCCAGAAATCGGTTTTACGTGCGACTATAGATGTTTCACATCAAAAGATTGTAAAAAAATTTTTTTATTGTTAAACAGTATAATATCTTCTAAAATAAATCCCCAAAATTATACACAATATATTAGTACGTATATTTTATAGGTTACAATTGGTTCGCAATATATATGTTCCCAGAATAACGCATATAATGCTTAGCCGGATTACTTGGATTTCCCCCGAGCCAAATATATTTTGAGTTGGTAAAAAATCGTACGGACTTAGCTCCACTGGGAGAACGACTAGTAATTCGTATGTCCTGATAACCCAATTCCCCGCCTGCAAGAAACCTTAATCATGTAGATGTCAATGAGATCCCAACTCAAATATTGTTATAACAAGCAAAATATATGCAGCAGAACATTGTAACATAAACGATACTAATATAAAATATTGCTACGTAATTTAGTAATTTTATTATTGTAGACATTGCTTTAAATAAAACCTAACGAAGCATACATTTTATCGTTGGATCTTCTGTCTCTTAGGGGGTTATCTATTGAAGTAGCGTGCAAGTGGTTAATAATTGTATGATCTTGATTAATATTTTTTTTTTTAATATTTAGTAAATAAATTATATGAAGATCAATTATTGTACGCTTGGTATTTTTATATATTATTTTATAGTGAACTATGTTATATGATATATATTCCGTAAGAAAATTCGGTGGAGTATATCTCGTTAAAGGATTTTGCGTCAAGAATGTCTTTTCCAAGAACGTTTCGTTTTAGTTACTATTGATCTTGTCTCCGTTAATAGAGGCCGCACGTTACCTATTCTTGTGTGAGGAAAACACAAAGAAAATTCGCAGAAAACTCATCTAAAGCGAAACGAGAATAAAAGAAATGTAATCGATGTTACGCGGACTTTTGTAGCATATCGTTACTGAGTATCACTAGGGTCAATCTTTGTGTGAAGTTTCCGGAAGAAAAAGAGAAAAACCCTTTTACCAGGATAAAGTTCACGTGTTTAAGCTATAAATGGTGAAACATATAATCAAATTGGTGTGTAAAAATGGCTTTTAACGTCTAGTTAATATTATTGCTTATCTAAAATTATTGTGAGATTTCTGAACCTAGCTGTGTATCTTTTAATTACTGTGCCATTTATTACTTGTACTTAGATTATCGAACATATTTATTAAGTCAAAGGTAAAAGAAAGTTTTTACTATCATTTTAAAATATTCACAAAACCTATGCTTATTAAAATAAAACCGTTTTCTATGCGTCTTCCTCGATATTTCAAATAAAAAAAAATATTCTACAATATTTTGCGTGTAACTTGTGGATAAATCGGTGGTCATAACCTAGATTTAGGATATAAAAATTATGAATTACCTTTAGCAGTCCTGCTTTCATACACCTCCAAGTCTAAGGCGTCACTTTTATCCTCCGTGTTCGAAAATTTGAAGGTAAAATCGTTCCAGTCGAAGCTGATCGCGTGACTTGTGAGTAACCGCGTTAGGGGATCCTTGCTTCTCGCCTGTCTTGCATTTTCTACTGGCTCTATAGTGAATGTGTCAAAAAGCTTCACCGCTTTCCTCTGCCTTATACTCCTAACGAATTCTCTAGTCATAAAGTCTATACATGTTGCGTTATCACTGCAATTTAGTTCGACAAGGGCTCTAGCTTGGCCCACTAAGGCAAACGCGAATAAATATATTAAATTCATTTTGGTCACAGCACAACACGTCACCAATCCATTTGTAGGTCACTGTTGGCACCACCGCCGGTGGTTGCTTCGTCAATGAGCCCCCGTATCGGCTGTTCATGATTTTTATCCCCGGTCACGGCAGAATGACCACGTGCAATTTTTTTTTCGTGTTCCTATTATTTGCGAGTACCACTTTTCTTTCCTCGCGTGTTCGATTACTTTCCGTTAGGATGACATTTGTCTGTGATAAATTTTGTTTCGATAATTTTAATAATCGTTGATTGCCAAAAAATATTTTTATCGACACGTCAAAACGCCTGTCAAAATTAATTAATATTAAACTAACAAAAACAGTGAAAAATTATATCGTTTACATTTCAGGATCAAATTCAACTATTTATGTATTTTCATCGGCAAAAGCGTTCATAATTATTGTTCGGAATTCATAATAACATACAAAATATTTACAAAATGTTCGTAATAAAGACATACGTAGACGACTATTCTAGCTAATATTAATTTTATCTCTAATATTGCCAGCTCTTTGAGATCGTACGTATTAATTTCTGGAGAAAATTAAAGTTAATAAGAACTATTTATTTTTGAATTGTTATTTATCCTTTATTGTTGTGTTTGTGGCATTTCTCAATCAGCATATTACAATGTTTAAATACAGATAAATGTACTATTAAGCAAATTTACATTGCTATTTTTCGCTTCAAAATCGATTTAATGTTACATTTTTCTTTATCCGAAAAACAAAATAAGTTTTCGCAACCCTAGAGAACATTATCCATTTCTTAACGTTACGTAAGAAATCAGCTTTCTGTGCCCTCTAAACCCAAAAAAATATTCTTCTCGAAACATAGAACCCAGGATCTACGCGTTATTACATACACACAAATTATAATAAATTAAAAGCTAATATACGTTTAGTTAGCCTATTTAAAAATATATAGTTGAAATGAGATATCCTATAATCTTGCGAATAATATTGTCACGGAGAAGACGCCCAGATTTGTCGGTGTTAACTTTGAATGAACATCATTACATGGCTAATGGCTTATTATAATGATGCCGAGGCGAAATAGTTGGCAATGTAGACGTAAATTTACTGGCATTACTGTATCCGTATCATCGTAGATTGTTCTTGCGCTTGTGAATTGTGATGAAATTAAGTAAAATAACGTTTTTAGGAACGCAACTTGGATATGAATATAAGAACATACCTACAAGACACTGAGTAGGATTTATTTAATTAAGGACATAGAAAGAGCATTCATATAATCGACATTATAGATAGACGAATTAGATTTATTTCTCAACAAATAGGCTTTTTTCGATTCAATTTTACGCAACCCTCTATATAATATATACTACGCAGTATAAAAAAGTCACTGAATAACTTCCCATTTCTTAATAGGTTTTTTTGCAATATATATTATATATTAAGTATTACTACGAATATAGGTAAAACAGCCATGACCAGTACATCCCTCCGTATATACTAACCCACAAATTATTCACAAGATTAGCATACCATTCCTACCTACTTTTTATTACTACGCTGTTCTTTACATTTGTTCGCACGCAACATTATATGCGTGATCTACTTCTTACCCTGTCTTTATTCGCGTAGAAAGTGAATTCCCATCTCCTTATGAGGAAGAAATGCTTAGCTAACCTATAATCTTTTTATGTATAAGTTAGCAACATATTATATATTACCTAGAAGTCGTATACTCTAATATTAGTTTGTAGTGAACCACTCAATAGGATAAGTGATATTCAGTTGTTCAGTAATCAATTTTCATAAAAGGTCAGTAGGTGATCAGCCTCTAATGCCTGAGCACGTCATAATTTTTAAGTATATAAAGTGAAAAATCCGTTCGGGTTCGACCAGAGTTCGAATGCAGAAGTTCCACACGTGGGTTGGTACTCAAAATCCGCATCATAAAATAAATAAGATTTATTAATAATCATTATTATATAAACGATAAAAAAATATATTTTCTAAAGCTTGTGATAAAGACGTATTCATCTACATACCTTTATATGTAGACGTAATGATAGAGGACTAATTTCAGAGAATAAAATGACGTAAAAATGTTATCCCGATTATTATTTTTATTTGATCCACATAGTGGAACCACCACTGTCTTCCTGATTACCTGATTACCTGAAGTAATCCGATCCAATTCGACTTAGGGTCCTTCAAGAAAAGAGCGTACCAATTCTTAAAACGTCGGCAACGCACTTGCGAGCCTTCTAGCAATGTGAATGTCCACTTAACATCAGTTGAGCCTTCAGCCCGTTTGCCTCCTGTTGCATAACAAAAATGGTACACAATCCTATCTAGGAACGAAACGTGATATATTTTAATCAGAGTTAGAACTAAAATACCGACGTTTTAATAAATGATATTGCTTTATAAACCTATTGTGTATTGTATCAAGGAACAAAAAGTTTGAATTGTATCTTCCTGTTGCGTTATGAGACATAAACTAGAAAACCATGTTTCGCTTAATATTTGTAGTTTTATATGCGAGGTGGAAATGCATTCCTGTCTTCCTCGAGTTCAGCTAATCAGTTTATATAAGGAGATATCTCCGTCTATGGACCTGCAATCTTGCCAGTTAACAAAACCAATGTTGCAATGTAAAGTAGATTTTGTCCTACGAAGCAGCAGATCACAGCAGGCCCTTAGACTTTTGAGTCGAATAATCTCTACAGCATCTTTCTGGCAAATTATGGCCGCCCGACGGGAATGCGTGTCCTATGGAGAGCCTTCGTATTGGAAGGTTAGTCAAATAAAAGTATGATACACAATGCAATTTTTATCACGGCATGCTTCATACTTATGGCATACTGGCAATGACTAAAGCACCCTTATTGATCCATCTTGTGTTAACCAATATTTATGACAGGAGTTAATGGATAAGTGAAAAAATATTTTTAATGTAAAAGCAATTCAAATCTATTATTGAGTAAGGAAAAATCGAAAAACTGAATTTCATGTTAGTAATAATATTAATTCTTGAATTAAATTTAAAAATGATTTATTTGACAGTGCAAAATTCATAACAGTGCTTAACATTATATTGTTGGTTTGAATATCTTTCATTAATTATTAATAAAATATTTCCATAAATATTACAATAAGTACCTAAATCATATGCGATTAATCAACCAAATCTTTGTAAAATCTATCTATCTTTAATCCGAATTTTAATTATTAAAACACCGGAAAGAATTATTTCTCTTCTAAAAAAGTTTTCCTGATGATAAAGAACCAGAATTTCTTATGCTTTGTTATAATATACGAATAAATGAAAAATATTATTAGTAAAACAGTTTTGTTTCAAAAACGAAAATTCTAAGAAGCGTCTATCTCCTTCAGCAGAACAGCGAGATAGAGACAGTATTAGGTGCTCGAAGAAAATCATTGCATTTAATACCTTATCAATTGGTAAACTAATAGTTAACATTTAACTTTATTAACTCCAATTTAATGGCTTGATTATCAAATTGATATCAATTTGAAAATATAATAATATATTTGTTACAAGTTCTATGCTAATTATCTTGCCGTATATGAATTTAAATTATTGTTAAGTGAGAAGCTTACGGATGGTAGCTAAGTAATTACGGAAGGAATCAAATTGAAATTAAGTATTAATCAAGGACTACATTAATTATTAAAGTTAAGTAGAAACGGAACGGTGTTTCAGAAGTTAATCTACTATTTCTAACCAAAACGAGATGAATGTTGCGGTGAAAACATTAGAAGAACGCTAGTAGAATTAAATGTTTTCACATTTTAATAAAATATTTTTGAACTAATATTACCTATTTGTAAGCAATAAATAATGAAAATATTTGAAATCGGTCCAGTTTCTGTTTTATTCCAAATACCCAAATCTTTCCTATTTATAATATTAATATACCAATAACATATAGTTTTAAATTTACAATGTTACTCGACCATAATAAGTTAAAAGTGCTATATGAATTAATACATTGTATGCAGCATTATAATTATTATACTATTATAGTATAGATATATTTGTTTAAAGGTTTCAGTTGACGCCCGGTAGACAGTACCGATGACCCCTGGGGGTTTAGTCAAGATGCCTTAACAGCCTTACGATTCTGTAACTCACTTTTGGAACTCTCACAGCAGTTTTCGCAGCGGCGGTCAGCATCGCAAGGCAGAAGTGTATGTAGAAAGTGTAAAACTTAATGTGTATGAAAATTTGTCGACATGAACTGTCATTTTCATACAAATTAAGTTTTCTCCTTTTTTACATACACTTCTGTTTCTGAGCTTTCCTCGTCCAACGTATAAGTATTGCAACACAGCGAGAAAATAATTGCCAGAATTAAGAGAGTGCATAAATGAATCAAACTTTTTAATTTCTTATGTTCTGCTTAGGATAACATTATATTGTAACGTATTAAATATTGTGTAGGTAATTAGTTTCATTATAAATAAATGTAATTATAGTTTTAAATTCATAAAAACATAAAAATGTTTCATTAAATTCATGTGTAACTTTAAGAACAATGAGTCTCTTCCACGGGTAAATATATATCTGTGCCTGCTTTACTGTTCTGTTATCACATCGGGAAAAGAACTATCAGTTGCTGTAATTCCTTTTGACGTATTAAATGCTTACGTTTGCATAAAACAAAAGTCACACGCCATTGTGGCACGGAGCTGCGGCGGAAATTTATTTGTGTAGATAACAACATATTTGCACTAATATCATAAATAAAGCATAAATCAATAATTAAATGATTTTTGGATTCGGTATTGTTCTATTGTCTTTTTGAATTATTATTAAAGAACGTTTCAATTCATTAACCTTTCGCATAAAATATATGGCACTAAAGTGTCATAAAAGTATTTAATGGACGAGTAAATAAATCAGATTGCGTATATTAATCACGAATCGTTAATTAGGAAGTAGAAATGTGTATTTGTATAATAGGATCCGTATCGCTGCACGCAGTTC